GGGGAACCAGAGGCCATTTACTCCAGGTGGGTTGCTGTGAATTTATAAATGAAAGCTCTGGATTGAGGAGCTCGAGCCATTTCCTGGCTGCTGCACAAAAGAGTTTTTAAAGAGGGCTCGGAGCCCGCCCATAAAAGCGGGTCTTCCCACTGCGTGGGGCTGTAGTACTACGTGGTGGTCTTGGTTTCTGACCATTGTCCACAGAAATGCTCTCTCACCAACTCGCCCCACTGTCCCAATCCCTCTGCTGTTAGAGGGAAAACTGTGATTACCTCAACTTGAATATGAAACTGTGATTGAAAAAAGTCAAAACGTTAAGAAGTTCCAAAGCCAAAAAGGCAGAACTGGCTGAGGCCTCTGTTGACACTCCTCAGCCTGCTAGGGGGTGTGAAGGGGCACACTGGCGAAAGGGCATTCCTTGCGGCACACGGCACACTCGCTGTGCCCTGGCAAAGAGGCACACTAGCTGTGTGAGCTCTTCGAGGACTGAGGCAGGGGGATGCCTCCTCCCCCACACTGCCCCTTCTGGAACCTGCCAGGCGACTCTGGGTTCCGACTGTGAAGTTGAATGCCCACTTGATTGCTCCAGGCAGAGGGACAGGGTCTTAGGCTTTCTCCAGAGGAAGGGCCATGACACTGTGTTGTAGATTTTGGCCTCAGGAGTGGATGCCAGGAACCCAGCGGGGACATCAGAAGTAGTAGGTTTCTTAGGGGCAGGCAGAAGTCCTCCAGGGGCTTACATGCTTTTTGCCAACTTTCCTATTAGCAGCTTCAGTTTTATACCACCCAGAGTGAGTGTGATAATGTTGAAGTCGCTGAAGTTATAGGTTATTTTACGTTTTGATGTGGGATTTTTCCTTTTTTTGATTGGAAGGAGGCAGAAATTGGAGAAAAGGGATCACCCTAGGAAGGGGCTGCTGGCAAGGAGTCCAGGTGGCCCTGTCCGAGCCCTGGGGGCTCTCTGACCTGAGGCCAAGACACGTGGCCCCGCAGGTCACAAGAAAAAGTTCCCTCCTAAATTCTATTAGGATTTTGGAGAATTTTTGCACAGTAATAAGCTCTGGGTTGCTCTTTGGGCTTCTCAAAAGGGAAAAGTTAACTCAAAGATTGTAAACTATTAAGTATTCCAGCGTGTTGCTGGCCTCGTTGGATAGTTGTACCTCAAAAAGTAGGTGAGAAAAGGCTTCCTCATTGTCCCAGGTTGTCGAATACTAATGACAGAAGAGCTCACTTACGTGCCAAAATTCACTTTTATACTAGTTTTTCAGTGCTTTAATATTTGTAACTTAAATTTTAAAACTCATATTTACAGACACTACTGTAACTTCAGTGAAACTGAATTGTGTGATTGAAGCTTTTTGCTTATAGTATTTATTACACTACTTAATTCAGTAAATATATAAAAGTAGCCTTCAATTTATTTTTATATTATTTTACATGTTTTTACCTGCAGTCGTGTATGTGAATTTACCTTGGTAACTGAGACGTCATGCTAAGGACCAATAAACTCACTGAACAAGCAAGACCTGGTGCAGTTGGTTGTCACTGTGGCCTCAGCCCCAAGGTTGAGAAGGCCTGGCCCCTGGGACAAGGCGGGGGATTCTCTTGGGGCCTCTTGGGGAAGTGCTTTGTGGGGGCAGCTGGGGAGGAGCCCTTGGGGTGCACACTCCCATCCCCAGATCCCAGAGGGCCCACAAAGAGTTAGGTTCATGAGGATACCACCCTGCGTGGGGATGGGCACTCTCAGGACTCCCAGGACCCAGAGAGAGGCTCGAGGAAGCCAGTTGTGGACACAGGGGTTCCCCAGGACCCCAGAGAAAAGCCATCCTGTCCCCACCCTCACCCTCATGTGGCCCGGGAGAAGCCACATCCACCAGTAACCTCTCACTCGTCCCGGATGGCGGGGCTCGGGTGTGGGTTCGCGACCCTACACCCCGCCTCAGCCTGGGTGCTTTACAAAGCTTGTTGGCCATCTAACCATGACCAAAACTCCATGAGTGGCCCTCGGTCCTACTTTACAAATGGGAACCACCGAGACACGCCCAAGGAGCAGAGCCCATGCCCTGGCTCCCAGTCCATCCGAGATGCCTCTCCGGCACTGCCCCACAGAGCAGGCCTGGGAGCCGCACACTCCAAGGGAGAAGCCACCCAAAGGCTCACATCTCTGGTGGAACAGTCACCAGTGCCCCTTTGCACGTGTGGCAGGGTTTTGGGCTGGGGGCGGGCCTGGCTGGCGTAGGGCTGCTGTCATTTCAGGGCAGGAGCTCGTTGCTGAGGTGCCATGCTTCCATGGAGACGCTGCCTTCTGTCCCCCTCTCAAGGAAGGAGCCTCCGGACAAGGGAAGTGCTCTGCTGGGAAGATGGAGAGCTGACCCAAGGGGGAGGAGGCAGCCCCCCTCAGATGGTGGAGAAGATGGTCTTGGGTTTGGAGGTTCTGTGTGCTCAATTAGGTACAAACCAAAGCAAAACTGCATGTGAGGGGCCCAAAGAATTGGGGATGAGGGGGCAGCAGTAGTATCACCTTCCTCACAACCCCTCCCCCCAGAGTCTCATGCCACCCCCTCCTGCAGGGCCACGTGACGGAGCTCCTGTGCTTTCAATTCCCAGGAAACCATCAGGATTTGGAGATTACCCTCCACAGTTGTCAGGGAGATGGGGGAGACAGGATATATCAAAGGGCTTCTGGGTGGGATGATCTTTGAGAGCCAGACGGTCTTAGAGGCCAGGAAACCTAGGGCCAGGAAGGGGGCCTGTCCCCACCTGGAGTGCACAGTAGGGCAGTCGGTCTACTGAAAGCTGAGAGCAGGCTTGACAGAGCAGAAGCCTCAGAATTAGAGAATTCTGGCCCATAGGTGGGAAAGGGACTTGGAGTAGAGGGTTTCAGATAGGGCTGCTGAACCATCACAGAGCTCTCTCAGAAGCACAGAGAAATAACCAGGTATTCGTTTCTATCATACAATCTAGGAAAGTGATGCCCCAGGGAAACCTGACTATATGCCCCGCTTGTAGCCCGTGATGGAAAGGGAATGGCTTGGTTGCTGTAAGAAGAGTCTAGGGTGGTACCAGCTTCAAGTTGGACCTAGGCACTCAGATGTCATCAGAGCCCTCTCTCCGCAATTGGTGGCCTTCCTCTCCCCGGGTGGTAAGCTTCCTTTACGCCACCAGCAGCCCCAGCACCCCAAAGGGAAGACCCAACCTCCTTCTCCAGAAGCAGCACCAAAGTCTGGGGTCACATTCCCATCCCCAAACCAGTCACAACGATCAGGAATATTCTGACTGGCTTGGCCAAGGGTCACTGTGCACTTCCAAAGGCCCCCCATATCAGGCCCACTGGGGATCTCAGTCCCCCAGAATAGGGCTTGCTCCCTTAGACCACCATGGTCTAGGCCGTTTCTGAGCTTTTCTGTTAAAATCAGATTTTTTAAATTTTGCTTTATGATAATCTTTTCTGTTACAAGAGATAGCAAGCACAACGTTGTTCTGTTGTGGTGATAGTGACTTTTAACCAAGGGAAAAACATGTTTTTAATTGAAAACATCCTATGCAGTAGGACCATTTTGCCCTGCAGACTGAGAGAAAAGGCCACCATTTTTTGGCTCTCTAGTGCCTCAGCGCGCCGGTATTCTGGGACTCAGGGACACCAGTATTCTGTGGGAGCCTGTTTTGAGAATCTTTTTTCCCCCCTAAATAAGAGAGATGGTGTAGACTGTAGTGTAGGGGTGGACAGCTGCTCCATATTGCTGGAGATGAGAAGAGGACTAACTGGAGAATGATTTTGAAGGAACAATTGACAAGGCAAAATGACTAATTAGACAAGAGCAAAGGGGTGACCTCCAGGTAGAAGTGGAAAAAAACCAAAGTGGAAAAAAACCCAATGTGAAACAATTCCAAAAACTTTGTTGTTTCATTATCCAAAAATTTGGAGAAAAATAAATTCATCCACAAATTATTCCTGCTCTTTCCAGGCTTTGGTTAAAAAAAAAAAAAGAAAGAAAAAAAAAATCAGTGTCAATAAATTTTATGTCACACTAATAAATGACTATGAATCTGTTTTTTTAAAATGCTAATCAAATAAAATGTGAGTAAATATCCATTTTATCCTACAATTACTCCTGCTTTTACCATACCCTTAAAGAAGTTTAATTTTTTTTCCTCACATGGGCTTCAGATTTTTAAGAAACTTTACATATTTACTCAGAAGTTTCATGCCTGGATGAATGTACAAATAATAGCAAAATAAGGACAACAGGAAGAGGAAAGATGATTTGATAACCAAACCTTCATGGAATTTTCTAGCTAAAAAAAACTCCATTTCAATCTCTAGATTCTGACTGTGAGTTGACGGGAGGGGAGGAGGGCACAAAGAAATGTTCCCCTAAGGGGAGCAGGTCCTTGTTGGCCCTCCACAGGGCTTCTTGCCCTCCTGCCTCCCCTCAGAGGAGCCTAGGTCTTTCAGCACGGATAAATAGAACTGGGAGAGGGCTCAATGCTGTGCTCGTTGGGCACCAGAAGCTCTTCCTCACACCCACCTGTGGGGCTTGGACACGTGCCCCAGGAGAGGAGGGTCAGTGGAGGCCTTGTTCCCTCCCCCAGGCCACCAGCATCACCAGAGGGATAATGTGGGAACAGCATCTCTCCTCCCAGGACCATGAGGGACTGTACAGCTGTAACCAGAGAAGGGCTGTGAGGGGCTGGGAAGGCTGGTCAAAGCAGCAGGAGCCCCAAAAGGCTTGTAAAACCCCAGGTGTCTCGAGGGAAGCCTGACAACTGCAAGGTGTGCGAAGCCACACTTGCCAGGAGTCCAAGGAAGGGGAAGGCAGAGGGATGGGACAGGGCAGACCAGAAGCTGAAATTAAAGGACTCGGTGCCGACTGAGGAGTTTGGGGCGAGAGGAAGGGAGTCTGGGGAAATCAGGGGTATCCGGCTGTGTCCCCATTAGGTGCAGCTGGAAAACCAGAGTGGGAGTGGAGGATGGAGGGCTTCCCCGGCTCGTAAGCCTCTGGAAACTATATGTGGAGACATCAGTCACGTCAGCTTTATTGAACCCTACTACCCTGGGTGCTGTGCTGGTGAAAGACACCCGGACTTGCTCTTAGGGAGCTAAGGCCATGCTGCAGTTAGGGGGCATGGGGGTCTGTGAGGAAAAGACGGGAACTGCTAGAGGCCGTGTGAGCAGGGAAGGGCGCCCTGAGAGCTGAAGGATGGAATGACCAGTTCAAGGCAGCAGACACACCTTCCTGGCACCCAGACTATCAGGGCCTCGGGTGGAGGCTGGTATTGGAGGAGCAGCTGGCAGCCACTGTGGCTGGAGCAGCACTCTCCCGGGAGCAGGAGGCACAGGATGAGGTGGGGAATAGGGGCCAGATTGTATAGCACCCTCTACCCCACACCCCTACCTCCCTAGGCCACAGCAGGAGATTGCCGTATTTATTTATTCGTTTGTTTTTCAAAAAACCACGAGAAGCCACTGTTGGTGGAGAATGGATGGGGGTGGGGGCAAGTCAGAAGGCTAGAGGATGGACCAGGCTGGAGGTAAAAGTGGGCAGAACTGTGCTCCGTTCTGAAGGTAAACCCAACAAAATTTGCACATGGATTGGGTGTGGATGCACTGGGGCGACTCCCAGGTCCAGAGCAGCCAGGTGGATGGTGGACTTGGAAGTTCCGTTTAGCCTGGATTTCCTCAGAATTGCCTATCAGCCATCCAGGTTGGGGGGAAGGGGTAGGTAAGTTGTGACCTGTTGAAGTCAGGAACACAATGACAGGAGTCATGAAATCTGTGGCTGGTAGAGAGCCCCAGGGAGAGATCCAAAGATCCAGGCAGGCCCACGCTGAGAACTGGGTCAGAGGAGGAGGACGAGGAGGAAAAAGGAGGGATGGATGATGCTGGGCACTGCTGGGGGCGGGGGACAGGCAGGGGAGCTGAGGCGGTTTGAGTGCAGGGGTGAGGACAAAAGACAGACGTATCACGGGGTTGAAGAGAAGTAGGGAGAGGGTGTGGAGACAGAGCAGCAGAGATCCCTCTGGAGATTGGATGGTACCTGGAGGAGGGAGTTCAAGGGAGTGGCTTTGTCTTTATTTTGTGTTTTTATTTTTTAAAGATTTTATGTTTAAGTAATCTGTCCACCCAACTTAGGACTCAAACTCAAAACCTCAAGATCAAGAGTTGCGTGCTCCACCGACTGAGACAAACAGCCACCCCTATTTTGTGTTTTTAAATGAGATACTATAGAGTTACTTCTCCAGATTCTAAAATCTATAGGCCTTATAGGCTTATGGGGGAAATGGAGTTGAAAGCCTTTGGAAAGCCATTAAGTGCCTTGTGGAACCGAGTGTTCACATCCACAGCCCAGTAAAGTCTGAGACCCCAAGGGAGAGAATCAGAGGAAATGTGTATGCCCATGTTTGGATCCCTAGCTGCCTGCCTGTGTAAGGACCCGACGGGGCACAGGCTGGGAGACCTGCGGCACCTGTGTTTGCCCTCAGCCTCTGATGCACAGAGGGCAGGTGATGGGGGGGAGGGTTAAAGTAAACAGCTTCTCATGCTGGGGTATGGGGGGGGGTGCTGGGGGGTCTGGGGCCTCTCTCCAGAGCAACCAGAGGAACCAGAGGAACAGAACCTGCAGGGGCAGAGGGCAGGAAGCAGGGAAGGGCTCAGTGGCAGTTTCTCTGAGAGTCAGGTCCATCCACCCCTGAGGGAGGCCTTGGCTGTGGGCTCCTGCTTCCTCAGTGAGCCAAGTGGTGAGGTCCCAGATCCAGGAGGAGGTTGCCCCTCCAATCCAGGGTGGCTTCCTGGAAGGTGGGTTGGAAGGTCTGGGTGTTTGGGACCTGTTGCTGACACAGGGAGACAGATGCAGAAGCCTAAGCATTCCCAGACAGGGGCCAAAATGGGTGGCTTTTCAGGGGTCCAACCCTGGCACCCACCCACCCCATCCAGCCTTATTCTCTGGGCAGTCAGCCTATCTGTCCTTCAGCTCCTCCTCAACCTCCATTCTCCACCTGTAGGACTCTGGAAGTCGGTAAAATAGGCTGAGGGTCTAGCTAAAGAAGATCCCATGGGTGGAGTGCAGGGGTTCCCCAGGAATACCCTGTGTCTATCCTCCCAGGCCCTGCTCAGCCCCACAGAAAACATGCAGCCAGCCCCCAGCCAGTCCTGAGTCTGGTAGATTTCCGCGTCTCCTCTGGTAGTAAGGAGCAGGGTGCTCAGAGCCTTCCCGACTCCGGGGCCATTCATGTGCAGAGGAATGCCCCCATGGCTTCCCTCCCAATGCACACTGTCTTGTTGGGAGGGGAAACCGGCCGCCCGGCTTACCCGGTCTGTGACATGGGCTCCCCCAATGCACCAGGAGCCATTGGGGGCTTCAGAGCAACCCCTCCGCAGAGGTGGGCTCACACTCTGCTTGCCCGGCCCCCTCTCTTCCACGCCTGGGGGACCGTGGCTGAGGACTCATTTCCAGCAGGAGGCTGGGCGGGGGTTGGGGAGGGCGGGGG